TATGATTTAGTTTTATAATGATTTAAGTATCGATTTTATTTCTATCGAATTTTATATTTAAGCTTAGATTATGTTAGTTCGAAACTAACATATAATTTGAATATTTTATGTTATTTTATGGGTGTCATCAGACCAGAATAAATCTAGTGATTCAAGTAATTTGAAAGGGGAGAAAAAGTGCGGTTGAGAAGATTATCGTAGAGAATATTCGATAGCGAGGCAATGGTGAGTGCATAATTAATTTATATTTATGTTATTGAACGAACATTAATGACGGGGTTCTATGATAAGAAGTGACTCCTAAACAATATTTTATTTGTGATTCACGCACATATGTTCATTTGGAAAGCTAACAGATTTATGGAATAAGCTAAGGATGCTAATTAAGGAAAGCTGCCTAGAAATTATGATTCGAACAGTATGTTTAGAAAATCACCATAAATTATAAAGAACTGATTATGAAATAATATCTACACCGTTGGATTTGTATATCATTCTAGTTTCATTTAAAACAAATGGATACTGATTTTAAGTAATATACAAAAAGATATGAATTTTTAATCGAGGATAGGTCAGAAAACATGGCAGCAGATTCTGCTCAAAACAACTTATGTAAGTCAACTTTGAAAAATCACTATAAATTGTACAAGTTGAACTAGAAGGAGTGTTGTATATGGTTAGATTCATATTCGAGTTTGTTTTCCATTTATACATTCGGAATAATTTTTAAGTATGTATATTAATACAAAATAATATTTATTTGAATGCAATGAAAACTACCAGAGTATGGAATTTCAATAAATTATGTAATTAAAGCAATTGAAAGCAAAGGATTAAATCTAAACCTTAGTGAGGCTTATATTTTGACTTATAAATAAAGTGTCAAAGTGAAATTTATTTATTTTGTTATTATGATTGAGGATGACTTGTGATAAGTCAAGCTCGTACTATTTAAAGTATGTTTCTATTTTAAATATGGATTATTTCCATTATGTTAATATAAAATTTTATGAATGATATAGGGTATGAAATGCCCAAGTTTATGTTTTACGATGATGAATTAAAAAATGATTTTGATTTTTAAATGTTGATTATTAAATGGTTACGATATGATTTAAAAGTCCATTGTATGTTGCATCGAGAGTCGTAGGTTAAGTTATGGTACATTCGTGTACATTATAATCTGCACCATTGGTGCATATTTTATGATTTTCACTTGGAGTGCATCTTATGATGATTATTACGATTGACACCGTGAAGTGCCCAGTGCACACATTATGTTCAACTCACGTACCTTGTATTGTTTTACATATACACTGGGCTATAAAAGTAAATATGAAAGTTATGACAAGTATATGAAAGAAAATAATATGAAAATGAAATGAATGTGCTGAAGGATGTTCGAATAAAAAAATATGAATTTTTTATGATATTTGATGTTGATTTACATTATTTTTGATAAAATCATGAGATGATGATTTTCAAGTTTTCAAGAAGAAAACAATTTGAATAGCTTAGTTTGAAAGTTTTAATTTTTTATTTAAATTACAATTTTATGTTATAATACTTTATATAATTTATGTTTTATATCACTTTAGCTATGCTACTGCCTCACTAAGGTTTTCTTAGCGCGTGATGATTTCCATGCGTCTGTACACATAGAAAGAGGAACGTGAAGTGAGGAGCCTCTTGAGCATCTTTTCAGAAAATCATTCCTAATATCAGTATCAATAAGATATTTTGTCTTTGACTTATTAGTGGCATGTATATTATATATGTACGTTGCTTTATCAGGTTTGTTTTTCAATGGTATGTAATAGTAAATTAGGACCATTTTATTTTAGTTAGTCTAATTATGTATGTATTTATGAATGAATAGTTTATATATAATTATGTGAGAATTGGTTTTCCTATTTAAGTAAGTGTTTAGGAAATTTTATATAACTTATGAAACAACCCTAAACTGCCTAATTACTACATAAAATTTTATTTTTTTTAGAACATTCAAATATTCTGATTATACACAATTAATAAAATGGTTTTAAAGTTGATAACAAAAAGTTTTAAAATGAAACAAATTTTAAGCGTTTATGACAAGTGAATGTATGTAATGTTGATGTAACATCATTAACTAATATTTCGAGACGCATACGGGTTATGGGCGTTACAAAATCGATTTTGATCTCAGTTTCCCTTAGCGGAATGCCGCCGAGTGTGTTCCTAGGAAGTCAAACTGACTAACATCCGATTTTTGCTCCCAACTGTAAAATAGAACAACATCCAGACCAACGTCATTTTTTAACTGGAAGTGTTAAGATTTTTAAAAGTAAGGCCGATTGCCAAACTAATTATCCAGAAAACTGAGAATGTAACCCGAAGGTATTAAGTGCTTTTTCAATTCTCACATTTGGAATTGAGTCATCGTTAGCTGTCGGCTAATAAGAAAATTAGCTAAGCATGATAGAAATCATACTTAGCATATTTTATGAAAACAATAAAAGCATAAAGTAAAATCAAGTGAAAATTAAAAAAGTATTTTTTATAAAAATAAAAACAAAGTAACAAAGTAAAATTGATGTGTTCAAGCTATATCCAATTAGGGTGTTTATAGCTTTATAAATCCATAAATATAGAATGGAAATTCAAATGCAAATATTCAATACATAATTCTAAGTGTTTTGAATTCAAAATTAAAACTAGACTTCCTAAAAGATCTCCTCGAATTATGCTAACTATGCTACTTCCAGAATCTTCCCAATGCTAACTGGACCATCTAGAAACTAACACATCATATTCGTGTAGTGCCCATGTCCTTGACCATGATCGGATAATAAACAAATGTGAACAACAATCTTTATCTGCTGGTTCTAGAAAGTAGAGCTATGCATGAAAATAAACATAACAGAACCAAATTAGCAGTGATAAATTTATAACACGAAAAATTAACAAGTAAATAATGTCAATTTAGAACGCTCACCAGTTAACTTATATTTATAGTATTAACATTTTTATTTTAAATAATGTTTAAGTTCGTTCTAAATTCTTAATTGATTATTAGGAAAAATTGAATTATAAAATGGTAGAGTATGAAGCTACGGCTTCATCTCATGGTTCTATTAATGTGGATGAGATTGAAAATAAGTTATTGATGAAGTTTTTGGTCCTGAAATATATTGTTGAGTTCGCTGTCGGGGATCATTTGTTATCCCGACCAATTATTTTGGATCAAGCTCGTTCCAATACATGTCATCACACATTCAGTCTTCTCAATAAGAAGTTAATTGATCAAAACAACATTTTACTGAAATGGATGAAAATTTTGCTCAAATGAAAGCCAAGGGTGAAACAATAAAAACATAGAGAATGGGAGAATCAAAGAGAAAAGTGAGAGAAGAGAGAAAAGTAGCATATAGAAAGATATGAAGAACTTCAAAATCAACTTGAAGTTATGAAGCAGATGATGCAGCGGAATCAAGTGAAGAATTCTTCATCCCAAGTATTTTTAAGGTTAATGCTTTGTTTATTCTAGTGAACAATGTTGAATTACGTTACATTTCAGTTGGATGTTTGTAAACTTTGATTTATTCATATTTTTATGTATTTTTACTTAAGTGGAATCATAATTAGATTTCAAGGTTGTTATTGGATATATTGTTACAAGTTAAATTTGAATAATAAAAAGTAGGAAAAAACATTTTGAAAATCAGTTGTGATTAGCAGTGCTTTAGGATAAAAAACACCACTAATGGAGTACATAATTAGCGGCGTTTGTGTGGAAAGCCACCACTATATAGATAATTATTATTGGTGTTTGTGTCTAAAACACATCTAAATAACCAAACATATTTGGGCGTTTGCATCGATGTTTTATATATCATCACAATTAGCGGTATTTGTATCCTAAACACCGCTAAATAACTTTACTTTTTGCGATGTTTTTTATCCAAAATGCCGCTAAAGAACCTAACTTTTGCGGAGTTTGTTAACATAAAATGTTGTTAACACTTGCGACATTTGTTTTGCCGGCGTTTCTTGTGGCATTTTTTCCCCGATAGTGCTTTTAGCGGCACTTTAAAATTCCATTATAGGACTAAAAAAAGACCGCTATAGACAATGGTTGATCCATAAATTTTTTTGAGGGTGGGCATACATATATTAATAATAAAAAATTTGATACGATAAAATTTTAAGGTGGACACCATAGAATTTCAAGGTAGGCACAAATATATTAATGAAGAAAACTTCGAGTTATAAAGAAGAAAATTTGAATTTGAGGAACTTTAAGGGTGGGCATCTGCAACAGGTTATAGACCTATTATGTTGTAGTGTCACTAAAAGTTTAGGAGTAATAGAATAATTATTAAATTTATTCAACTGCTACAATATAAATTTTGATAAGTATAAAGATCATTTTGTAACTGCTAAGTTTCAATGATAATTTTGCATTAATTAAATCAAGTGTAATGCCTATTTTGTATTAATTTATAAAGTTTAATAGCTACTTTATAACTTCAAACAAAGGAACTTTCTCGAGTTTTTAATTCACGTCTGGCTTAACCAAGATTTGAACACAAGTCATTTATTACATCCTCCTTATTTTAATATCAGTAGATCATGCAAAGCAACATTTTTACTTTTAGGGTAAATTATGAATTTAGTACCTAAACTATCAGTTTTGATATGTTTTAATATATAATCTTTTAATTTTTCAAAACTATATCTAAAGTTTAGTTTTTATTTCATTTTAGTACCCCATTGTTAAAAATTTTAGTACACCATTCAAAATTTAACGTTAAGTTTTGAAAATATTAAAAGTTTAGTTACTAAAAAGAGCCAAAACTTATAGTTTAGATACTAAACGCGTTAAGTTTTTAATGGAGGGGTATTAAAATGAAATAGAAACTAAACATTTAATATGGTTTTGAAAAAATTAAAAGTTTAGATACTAAAACAGATTAAAACTGATAATTTAGATACTAAATGAATAATTTACCCTATTATTTAAAACCGCGAGAGTAGGTGTTCAAGCAGCAGGAGCATCCTCGAGTTTTGCATTAACGTTTGGCTTAACACTGTATGGATCAATGTCCACAGTTGACTTGTATCCTTCATCAGTCACTTCTACATTGCTGGTAGACTTCTCCAATTTTTCTTTGATTTTGTCCCATTCAATTGTTTCTTTTTTAGTAATCTCAGTATAAACCTGCAGTTGAAATAGATCTAATTTGTGTAAAAAAATGATGGAATTGTTTCATTTGGTTGTCACCAACAAAGAAAAAAAGTTAAAATCTTGGGTAAACTACATATTTAGTCATCTACCTATTTTTATAGTTCTGTTTTGATCACCCAATTATTATTTTTTAAATTATACCTAACGTTATGTGTTAGTTTCGTTTTGATCACAAGAGAAAAAAAACAGAAATGTTGTGCGTCATTAACTTGTGATAACAAATCAGCATCAACCTTAATTTTTTTTAACTACAGATGACTAAAACAAAACTAAAAGGTAACATTAAGTATTGTTTTAAAAAAGAATATTTGAGTTACCAAAACAAGAAATTAATGTCGATAAAAAATCTATAGAAAATCAATGGAAAATTATATGCACCTTGTTATCATCTAACGTATTGCTCCACGCAACAACCCACTTAATGTCTTGATTGACGACGAACACAAGCCCGCCTTCGGAGCATCCTAAAAAGGAATCGGCCAATTGCATAAAATATCGTGTCTGTTGCGACGGAACATTTACCGGCGGCTTTGAGGTTCCACACCAATCTATTTTATCAAGCCTGCCGAAATCTTGGTCGGTTCTATTGTTGAGGTACACCTCCGTCGATATCGGAGGACCAACCTTGCTTGGAGCATTCATCGTCTAAGTTTGATAGTTCCAAGTACCTTACGCTATTGGTTTGGTTTCGTTGTAGACACCCATATATATATATATGCTAGTTTGCACCCCAAATGACGATGGACCATCTGTTCACACCCAGCCAGTAAATAAAGACAAGGGTAAACTACTTATTTGGTCACCCACCTATTACTTAGTTTCTCTTTTGGTCATTCAATTATTATTATTTTTTTAAAAGAAAATCTTGCCTAGTGTTAGGTAACATTATATTTTTAACGGTGATGTTGATATGTCGCCATATGATATTGCCATGTCAACATTAAAATTAATACGAAAAAAATATCACGTCATTATCACTGTTAATTTCCTTGGTAAACTACGTATTTAGTCATCTACTTATTCATGTGGTTTCGTTTTGATCACCCAACTATTTTTTTCTTTCAAAATCATATGTAACAATATGTTTTAGTTCCGTTTTGGTCACCCGTCATTAAAAAAATTAAGAATGATGTTAACGTGACACCATAACGTAACGTCGCCTCAACATTGAAAATGGTTTTTAAAAAACATCTCATGAGCATCACCGTTATTTTTTTTACAGCGGAGGAATAAAACAAAATTAAAAAAAAAACAACGTTAGATATGATTTTGAAGAAAATAATAGTTGAATGACAAACAAAAATTAAATATTAGGTGAGTGATCAAATAGATAATTCATACCCATAAAAGTAAAAATACTGCCTAAATAAATATTTTTTTTAGCTGGAAATTACAATGAAACACTGGTCCCTCCAAAGTGTAGAACTCTGGACCATCATTATGCTTGATTTTAACTTTAATCGTCTGTACCATGTGGTTGTTATAACTATATTGCAAGATTAAATATTTCAATATTAGCTTCTGACATGTATGTTTCACGTGTTGGTTTTACTTTAATTATTTCATATGTGGTTGTTATAACTAAATATCTCTCTTTACTATATAAAAGACTATATATTTTAATATTGGCTTTGTCTCGTGCGATCTGTTGATTTTAATTATTTTAATTAATTTTTTTATAATTTATTCATTAATATTGATGCTTAATAAAAATATTTATCTAATTTATTTTTTATTAAATGATTAAGTTATATTTTTATGATTATTTAAAAGTGTATACTAATGTTAATTTAAATGGTAAACTATCCATTTAGCACCTAAACTATCAATTTTTGTTTGTTTTAGTACTCAAACTTTCAATTTTTCAAAACCAAATCTAACGTTTAGTTTTCATTTCATTTTAGTATCTCTCCGTTAAAAACGTAACGCGTTTAATATCTAAACTATCAGTTTTGGTTCGTTTTAGTGCCTAAACTTTCAATTTTTTCAAAACTTAACGTTAAATTTGGAATAGTGTACTGAAATGAATCAAAAACTAAAGTTTTTAACGATGGGTACTAAAATGAAACAAAAACTAAACTTTAAAAATGCTTTTTAAAAAATTGAAAGCTTAGATACTAAAACGGACCAAAACTAATAGGTTAAATAATAAATACGTAATTTTAAACGAATTTTAAAGTACTATTCAAAAAATAGTATTGTGGTGGAACTCAATTAATATTAATCTACGTAAAAATTAATAAAATATTGAAAAATAAATTTATTAATTTATTTAAATTAAAAATAAAAATTGAGATATAATTTTATTAATTTATTTAAATTTGAAATCAAGAAAAATTCTCCTTAAGTAAATATTTATACCAAATCTTGCATGCCCATGATTTTAAAGTCGAATTATTCCATCATTCCAAAGCATATTGGAAAGTGTAACACCCTTACCATGTCCAAAAGTTTAATCATACAAACAATGTTACTCTCCAGTTTTAAAAGAGTTCGATTTTACAATCGATTTGAACTCCATTTTTTTTTTTGGAATTTCACTACAATTAATCATCATACATGGATCAAATTGTGTAACACCCTCAAAACGATGTGGCTGATTCGATCTGATTCGGGGTGTCACATTAAGGTCACCGGAATGACCCAAGTAAAATTCCAGGAAACATAAAATTTTTGTTAAACCTTTTCAACCATAAAACATTTTATAAATAAAAACACAATTTAAAAAATAATTCATTCATATAATAAAACAATAACTGAAAATGCCACATATCAAATAAATTACAAACTCAATATAAAAATAATGTGACCTACATGCCCCCTAATTCTATGGGTATCGTACTCGTGAGCTATACCGAGGGAACTCCCATTGCTGATGTCGATATCTGCTGATGTCGATATCTGCTGATGATTGATTCTTTTAACCTAAAATAGTAAATAACAGAGTGAGTTTTGGGAAAGCTTAGTAATACAAAACTATTAGATAATGCTAAAGGACAAGTAGATATGACAAAGAATAAAACTTGCTTATTGATCCTGAAATATATAGATTCTAGGGATGAGTTGAGGTTTATTATTTAAATCTTCATGTAATAGCCATGAAACCTATAGTTCAGAGGAGGCATTCATATGGAAAAATTTAAGAGATTGAAATGGGGTGCCTAATGTGTTCCCATAAAACCATAAATAAGTGTGCGAGTAGTTTAAAAACAGTAGTAATTTATTTCAAGAAATAGATTTTCAAATCACATTAATACCCTCTAACCAAACACTGATATGTAGTTCTGCATAATTGCATCCATAAGGACTTACCCTAGGCCATTTGGGCGTAGGAGCCAACCTAATGGAGCACCTTGGGTCCATAAGGACTTACCCTAGCCGAAGCGTAGGAGTGACCTAAAGGAAGTACCCCCATGTCCATAAGGACTTACCCAATGCACAAAGAAAAGCAATCACCTGAGGGGAGTTCCCTCATGTCCATAAGGACTAACCCAATACACAAAGCAAAGGAGCCACAAGAGGTGAGTGTCTCTAGCTCCATAAGGACATACCCAATGCACAAAACAAAGGAGCCACCTTATGGGAGTTCCCCCGGGTCCATAAGGACTTACCCTATGCACAAAGTGAATGAGCCATCCTAAGGGAATGCCTTAGGATCCGTAAGGTCTTACCACTAGACCCATTGAGCCCAAGAGCCCACCCTTGGACCCAAGGATGGCCTTAGGTTCATAAGGAATTACCAACTTAATCAGATCTAAAACTGATGAACTCCATAATACATACTAGAAGTACCCCAATATAAATTAGAGAAAACACATAATAAACAATAATCAATAATATTAGAGGTCAGGAGCCAGATATCTTATATAAAAAAATAGAGATTAAAGACTGGATTTTTATTTCAGATATCAAAGTCATATTTTTTTTATCAAAGAAAACATCTTTTTAGGGATTATACTAGAGGATTCAGATATTTTTTAGATGCACTAGGTAAATATCAAGAAGGAAATATAAACTTCTGCAAGTTGATCGAATTTCGGAGATGAGATTCTTACAAAATATGTTCGGTTTCTAAGTGACTTAATCAAACCTTTAGGATTTGCTACTTCAGGAACACTTAGGATTCAAAGGCACCATGAAAGTATTTAGGAACTTTTACATCAAAATTTACTAAGTTTCAAATGTAACCAGAATGATTCCAACATTTAGGTCATCCAAGGCATTTTAGACATTTTGATTCTTGAAGAATTCTTAGTATTCAAGATTTATACTGAATTATCAGGAGTTCGAGTCCATTCGAACCAAAAGATCCCAACACTATGATACCTGTCAATTATTCGGATTGAGATACTTCACGAATTTTCACCTCTTATAGTTGATTTCACTAGTTGAACTGATCACCTTTAAAATCATCAATGAGCAGATCTCGAGAAGATAAACATGCTTTGGTGGGTCTTTATCTTATTTATGTATTGCAATAGTATCAAGAATGATAGACATGTTTGGGTCGTGCTTCATAACCTTTAAGACCATAAAATAATTAGCTTTACATGTGTTTTTAAATTTATTCCATGACATAAACTTAGTTTTAGGTTGTGAGCGTATATAGATAATTTCAGCACTCAAAGTTATTCTAGTCATTTTGGTGCTTATCGTTTGCTCATTAAACTTGGTATTATTCCTTATCAGTCTTCTAGTCCTTTATACAAGTCGTAAGAGTTTTATTCAGTTTACTTCCTTTTTACCGTATCTGGATCGAGTTTTGCAGTAATTAACTACACATAATTTACCAATAATATTCATTCATGCAATCACCAATATCAATGTGTTCCATAAAGCAAGCAAAAAGTAGTAATGTATTACCTCGATTTTCAAGTCACATCACTCGATCATTTAAATTCTATTCAATCTCACTTTTACTTGAATTCGAGGTCCCAAAATATCTCGGATACATAGCAAAATAATTGATGCTAGAAACAAAACTTAATTGGGAAAACAGATCGAATCGAAGGATAAAACACTGAAAAATAATTTATTAGGTTTGAATTTAGTGAAACAGACTTTGGATTAAGACTTGGGACGTTGAAAAACATATAATACGATTTTTCAAAAAATTTAACTTTTTTTTGTCAAAGTCAACATTCAACACTAGTTAGGTCAAAGACCAACTCTAGTCAACAGCTCGTGACTCGGCTCGATTCAAGGCTTGGTTTAGTTCCTGCTTGACTTAAACGGCTCAGGTGGCTCAACTTAAATGACTCGTACCAGTTTTGCTAATTCAAATTGATCCAACCGATTCAAGAGGGTCTCATGGCTGGAAACTTTCCCCACATGCAGAGAGTGATGCGTGGGCACGTGCGGTGACCTTAGTTGTCAGAATTCCACCAAAACTTCCAGATTTGTAAATCAAAGGCCGATGAGTCCGTTGTGGTGCTGTTTTCTGATGAATGTTAACGAAAAAGAGCATTTCAAAGTATCAAAACTTCTTCAATGATGATGGACAAAGCTCTATGAAAAAGAAACGATAATGGGGTAAACGGATCGAGTTTCGGTTGGAACCACTCAAGGAGTTCAACGGCATAGGCCGTGAGGACATAGGACACAAGAGTCAATCAAAAAATTGAAGAATATCAAGGGTGGGAATTTGGGTTTCGATGAGTAAACAAACATCGATTCACGATGAATGATGACATTTCAAGGCAAGGGACAAGGGGTTTTTGGTCAGATAGATGTGGTGCTTCAATCAGTGGTGGCGGTTACAAGCACGGTGGTGATTCAATGGTGAAGGCGACGAACGACGATGATGGGTTTGATTTTTAGGGATTTGATTCAAAATGGATTAAGGTTTTAAAAACCCCATCTAAAACTCAAAAATTTATTTTGTTTAAAATAAAACTAGAACAGTGCCTTAACCGCTAAGGCGTAGACACCCATCACCTATAGGTCAGGAGTTTAAATTGCGTCAGCCACTCCGTTATGTTTTTTCTTGGTGGCATAAAATGGGTAAATCAAGGATAGGTCCTTGAACTTCTTAAGATTTAAAAACTGGCCTAAAGTTTTCAGAACCTTTTGAATTGGTCCCCAAAAATTAATTAGATGAATTTAATTTGAAATTAACTGAAAATAGGGGTGTTACAAATTGAACTCAAATTATAACACGTAGCATTATTTAAAGTTAAAAAAAAAGCATTCAAGGACTAATAAACAAACAAGTGTAAACATCATGGGTATTACTAAAATTTATCAAATTACAGTTCTAATATCTCACGTGCCCCAAGTCATTAAAAATTATTAGATCGACTAGGCTTACCATGTCATTTGTGGCCAGAGTCGTCTCGAATATTTTTGGGTACTGAGTGAAAACTCAAAAAAAGGCTCTTATAAAAAAAAAGTATATTCTATCACTGTAAAAAATTAATTTAATATCATAGAAAATGATCAAATTTTTTTAACATTAATTTTATTATTTTGTTAAGAAAACACTTTAAATAAGAGAATAAAAAATTGAATGTGGTTATGAATTATGATATGAAGTTTGATTTTGAATAATAAATTTAAAAATAAAGAATAATGTATTATGTTATCATTATATTGAGATTGGAGAAGACTATGAGTTAAATAATATTGGTAAATTGAAAAAGACAATTTGTAAAAAAATAGACAAATATGATTAGATTTAATCCTAGGTTTTATCTTATGTAATGAACCTTGAGACTATCTGAGATGAGTGCTAGAAGAGATCGTCGACCTTCTCGTGTGTAAGGTCAATCTGCTAGATTCGCTGATCCGATTGAGGACCTACCACTGCCAATAGTAGACCTTCCCGCCCCTTCTTGCCATTCAGTTTTGAGAGATCCACCACTTGCTCCTGGTATAGATATGACGACACCTGTTAGAGGAGCGTCAATTGAGCAGACATTTTTTTAGCTGATTCAGGGGGCAGTCAGAGCAGCAAGTGTCACACCTGAAGTTCCAATTACATAGACCTTGTCGCCAATGTGGTTAGGACCTTTTGAGGCCCAACTAGAGGAGATCCTACTGAGGCCGATGACTGGCACTATCATACTAAGAGGCGCGTGGATCAACTGGGTTTGGATCTACAGAAGTGATATTTGGGAGACATATCGATGTTGAATGGGAATGCACATACTTGGTTGGAGTCTGTAGTGAGCAGTGTTCCTACTGATTGCCTAACGTGGAATTTCTTCAAGGAGCTTTTAGGAATAATTTTCTTGGAGAGTGCTATATGGCTAAGAGGCGACTACATTTTTAGGATTTGGTTCAGGGATATATAACAGCCTCTGAGTATGAGATGGAGTTCTTGAAGCTATTGAAGTATGGTACTAGCCTGATTTCTACTAAGAGATCACCCGAGGACTCAAATATAAGTTGCGTAGGCAGGTGGTGACCCATTAGGATGAGGTATTTGATACTCTGGTGAGCAGAGCGACAGAAATTGAGGAGGTTGAGGCCATGGCTCCTGTTAAAGGCCAAGTAGATCAAGAGCGATCTAGGAGGACTTCTGACCCAACTGAGTCTTCTGCATGCCATGGGAAGAGGACTCGTACTTATGCTCTCTAGAGGAGTAATACCAGCTCTAGGCCTGCAACACCTTCACCCCCAGCAATTAGTCGCGATGATTTTTTAGGTTTCTCTCCTTTGTTGAAATGTGAGCATTGTGGCAATCATCATGGGGGAGAATGTTAAAAAAATGGATACCTATTATCGATGTGGGTCTAGTGAGCATTTCCTTAGAAATTACCCACATCTAGCCATTTTAGAGTGTGCACCTACTCAGACTCCTGTACATTTATAGCCTTATGTTCAAACCCCAGCTAAGGGACGTAACTAGGGGAAAGCTTCCGGATCTATTTCTAAGGCTAACGCTAGAGCCCGTTCACATCAGAGTAGAGGGCCAGTGGTATCTGTGGCTAGGCAGTCAGTTCTTATGTATGCTACTCTTCACAACTCTTATAAAGTATTAGTAGATTTCACCTATTGTTAAAAAACAAGGTAAATTTTCTGGTGAACTTAACGAGTAACAAGTCGAGCAACAAGTTTTTTTAATAAACACGAGTCGAGAAAAATTTTAACGAGCTTAATGAGCAACGAGTCGAGTTGATCAACAATTTTTTTTAACGAGTACGAGTCAAGCACTGCACAGCTCGTGATCGACTAGCTCGATAAACAACCATAGTTCCGACATTAGGGAACACCTAAGGACATCAACACAGAGAAAGCACCAAAAGGCAAACAAAATTGCAAAACAATTAAAGACCAAATAATTAAGGTAAAGATCTATTTGGAGGCAAAACACTAAACAATATCATAATAAAAAGATATTTTTTCTCCTTATAATAAAAACACCATACATGACTCAAATTACTTGAAACATCAAATAACATCTTAAATTTAAAATATAAAAGCGTACATTAACGGAAAACTTTAACACAAGTCATTTATTACGCCACATTTCTAAATTTAGTTGTGCATTCATAGCACATCTTAAATTTTCTCAATTTTTGCATTCACGTTCGGTTTGACCTCGTTCAGATTAATGTCAACAGTTGATTTGTATCCTAAATAAGTCGCTTCTGCATGTTCTTTAGATGCTTTCACTTGTTCTAGGTAGAAGTCCCAGTTAAGATAAGAGTCGGTAGTAATCGCAGTATAGACCTGCAGTTGAAAAAGATTTAATTGAAGTAAAAATTGTTTGTTACTATCAAAGAAAAAATAGAATAACATTGAATTGATGCTTACCTTGTTGGCTTCATCCATCATATTCCTCCACACAATAACCCACCTAATGTTATCTTTGATAACATACGCAGCTCCGCCTTCGGAGCTTCCTGCATAGGAATCGGCCATGTGCCTAAAATATCGTGTCTGTAGCGACGGAACATTTAGCGGCCGATCTCCTCCCCCGTACCAATCTTTTTTGTCATAAATGCTGAGATCGTAACCGGTTTGGTTGTTAAAATACACCTCTGTATATATTGCAGGACCCTTACCAGTTGGAGCAGCCATTGTCTTAGTTTGATATTTCCAAGTAGTTTATGCTATTGATTTGGTTGTGCTGCGATTTGTGTGCTATACTAGACATCCTTTTATATACTAGTTTGCAGCCAAGAAGTTATAATATTTTTTATTTTACCTTGAAATCACATCGGAACACGTGATTTGTGCATTGGGCAGAATTGAATTAAGTCCATGTGCTGATCTCTCCGATGTGTAACGCCCGGGAACATCATTAACTGCTTTAAATGTGGTTGTTATAACTATATTGCAAGAATAAATATTTGGGTAAACTATACAATAGTCCTTTGACTATAGGGTACTTCTTTATTAAGTCCCTCGACTAATCAAAGATACAAAATCATCATTCGACAATAAAGTGTTGCTTTCCTGAGTTCCATAATTATTAAAACTTATAAAATGATCAACCAACTATTCATATGTTCCAAACTCGTCATTTTTCGTTAAAAAATTGGTGTATATATGATTTGGACATTAACATGATGACTTGGATATGATAGTTGTTTGAGATTCTGAATAACATTAATTTTTTAACGGAAAATGATGAGTTTGGTTAATGTTTTAACGAGTTCAGACTAACGTTAATTTTTTAATAGAAAATGACGAGTTTGAAACATAAGAATAGTCGGGCGACCATTTTGTAACTTTTAATAGTTGAAGAATTTAACAAAGCAAAAAATGATAATCAGATGACCATTTTGTAAGTTTAATAGTAAGGGAACTCAATAAGTCATCACTCTATATATAGTCAGGGGAGTATTTTGTGTCCTTTGCCCTAAATATTTAAATATATTTTGTGTTGACCTAATTTGTTCTCCTTTTTAAGATATATATATATATATATATAATACTATAAATATTTCAATATTCAACTATCATTATCATCCCATGTGAATTTTTTTAAGTTTTCTATACTTTATTTAATTAATAAAAAATTTAGTTTGTGTTTATGAGAAAAATCTGGTTGTGACTATTGTTGGCACTTCAACCCTTTTAATTTGGATGAAGAATTGCGGTTGGTGGTTTCAATGAATTGAAGAAGATGGTATTCGATGTGAAGAGCAATAATCAAGAAGTAAAAAGAGAGTGCAAGAGTCCTTCTCTAGTCATGTATGATGCCTTATATACTGACCCTATTTCGGATGTGAGGCCTAAGGTCATGATGTTATTCATACGATGACATGGCTTGTAGATATTATTGCCATATTGTAGATTTGGCTAGGGCATATCATGTGGGACAAGTAAATTTGGCAAGGTCATATTGCAGATTTGGCTAGGTCATGTAGATATTAATGTCATATTGTATATTTGGCTAGGTCATGTAGATATTAATGTCATATATATTGTAGATTTGGCTAGGGCATATAATGTTAAGGGAATGTAGTTGTTCAAAGGACATAGAACACTAGAGGCTCCTCAAAACTCCATTGGCTTCAATAGATGGAGGACCAACAACAAATGTGTGGTTTGGAGAAGGAACAACACTTGTCATAGATATTATTGTCATATTGTAGACTTGTGCTGTATCATTGGTGTAGTCTGAAGGCATAGAGCTATGACCGTTAGGAAGAAGTTGTGCTGTCCAATTATTTAAGAGAAAAGTTAGGGATAAAATCCCTAATTACATCCGTACGAGTGATCCAAACTCTTGAGAATGTGTTGAGGGATTGTGTGATCGACTTCCAAAGCAGTTGGTAACATTATTTGCCATTAGTTAAATTCGCTTATAATAACAATTATTAGGTGGGAACATTATTCGTTACTAGCTAAATTTGCTTATAATAACAATTATTATTTGAGAATATTATTTGTCACTAGCAAAATTCGCTAATAATAACGACTATCAGGACAAATTCCATATGATCCGTAATCATATGAAGGAGACTTTTAATAAACATAAGTTATATAGCAATATGAAGAGGTTGGTCCGTTTTTGAGATTTTAATGGTATGGAACAAATATAGAAATTAGGTCCTAATAATAAGTATAGAAAAAATTAAATTATAACAACAAGCAAAACTAAATAAATTTACTTGTAAATTGGTTTTTTATTATGTTTAATAAATTACCTAATAAATACATTAAATGTTAAATAGAAAATAATAAGAAATTTTATTAAACATCAAATTCCTCACACAAAACAAGCATGATCATCTTTTAAATATGTACATGTTAGATTTTAATTTTCTCTAAAATAAAAAGTAAAAGAGTAATTTAAATATATCACATCAACATCGTTTGGATAAAAAAATATAATGTTAAATGTGATTTTGAGAAATAATAATAATTTGATTACAAAAAAAATTTAAATAATAAATTAGTGAGTATATAAATAATTATTATTTTTTTAATCATATGTGAAATTACAACTTTGAGCCGGGGGCAAGGGAGATACCTCTTGCCCATGCTCAAGGACGAGCCTGTGAAGAGGAGAAACTAAAAACATTTAAAAACATTTTGGAAAAACTGGGACCCACACAAGGGGTTTAGCCACTTTACCTGCGACACCTTCAAAGCATTAATTGCCACGAACCCATAATGTTTTTTTTATCTGGAAATTGCATAGGAATACGTGTGATTTGTAACCGGGAAAAATTGAACTAAGCCCATGTGCTGGTCTCTTCAAAGCATTATGTTTTTTTATTGTTTTCCATGTGGTGCTTGTAACTATATTGTTTCATGTGGTAGTTGTAACTATATTGCATGACTAAATATGTTAAGGGTAAATTATACGTATAGTATTTAAAGTATCGTTTTTATTTTTTTAATATTTAAACTTTCAATTATTTTTAAAATCATGCCTAAAGTTTACTTATTGTTTCATTTTAGTACCCGGCATTTACTTTTTATTTCATTTTAGTACCCATCGTTAACTTTTTGTTTCATTTCAGTACCTAAATTTTTAATGGCGGGGTATTAAAATGAAACAAAATGTAAACTATATGTATGGTTTTGAAAAAAATTAAAGTTTAGATACTAAAATAAAACAAAAGTGATAGTTTATGTATTAAACATGCATTTTACTCATATTTTCGACATATGATCCACATGTTGGCTGTACTTTAATTACAGTAGAAACTCTTTAAATTAATACTCGGTAAATTAATAAACTCTCTAAAATAATAAATTTGTCCGGTCCCGACTTGGGCCAATGTAAAAAATTGAAAAACTCGATAAAATAATAAGATAATAATTTTTCATGAGATCCCTTTATAATTTTCGGTCTCAAGAAAATCATAAATTAATAATTCATATAAACTGAAAAAAATATATTACCCTCTATTGAAATATGATTCAATAGTTGTATATTTTCCTTTAAAGTTCAAGTCTATTTGGAGCTTATTATTAATTTAACTCATCTCTTGCAACGTAATTCTAAGAGGCATAGATTAATTTACCTTTTTGTTTGGTATGTACAATATAATTACTGCTTTTATTAATAAATTAATAACTCTCTAAATTAAAAAATTTCTCCGGTCCTGACATTATTAATTTATAGAGTTTTAACTGTAGTTGATACCAAGTTGTTATAACTAACTTATTATTTTCTTAAAATAAATGCACGACTTCAAATATTTTTAATATTTAATTATCATTATCATTATGCATGAATTAAATAATCTCAGTGATTTATAGATTCTTATTATCTTTTGAGGTCTCGAGTTATATCATCGCATATATAAAAATATGAGTTTTTAATATTAAATAGTTAATAGTCTTTAAACAGATACTATAGCATATTCATCTTAGATTATTAAAAAAACTATCACTATTATCCCATGTAAATTTGCCAATTACATTGGCCAATGTTCCTGCATGTACCAGGAATCTAATTCCCGTTCCCGTTGGAGTAAAAATATTTCTTTAGTTACTTTTTTAAGTACAAAAAATTAATTAATATGAGAATGCATATATAAGATAAGAATACATCACTTTTAAAGTAAATAATATTGATAAAATAAAAAGATTAGGATTGAAAAAAATATTATATACTTAAAATTTATAGTTTAAGACTTTTAAAATACTAAAATCGAGTTTTAGCTCAATTGATATTATTGTTATTATTGAAAAAATTGATTTTTTTAAACTTTGACGCATATTCTTAATGAGTAAAGGTGGAGGTTCGAATCATAAAATTATAGTTTTATATTTTATTCTATGAGATCTTTACAACGATATATCATATACTCAAAATAGTTAAATGATAAATAAAAAATTAATGCTCAAAGTAAGCTACTTGTTAATTATGCTCATCAAAATGAAAAACTTATATCCCACATTGGTTGGATACAAGTGTGGGAAAGTTTTATGTACATGAACCAATTTGTGTATTGTAATTGTGCAATAAAATTTTTTGCTTTTTGTACAAGTGTAAAGGGTGTAAATTGGGTTGCATGCCAGATGTTGCTAAATGTTTGGCTTAATCAAGGGCATGTGAATAATTTTAGCCCAATACGAAAAATATTTTGTTGAATAATTTTTCAGTGTGAATCTCAAACTTAAACCATGTAAACTTGGACTTTCAAACGTTTTTGGTGACATAAGAAGATGATGTTATAGTTCATGTTACTGCTTTGCTCATATCATTGTCGTATCTTGGAAGACACACGATCAACGTTTCTCTAATATCATAGGAAGGATTAAATTTATCTTAAGAAAACAATGTAAAGAGGCCTCAACAACATTGTTTATCTAAATCCACGACTACATATGAATAAACAATTTCGTTCTTTAATTTTAATTATGTATTTATTTTTTTGTTCAATTCAATTATTGTTCTTTAGATTAATATTTTTCATTTAATCTTAAGACAGATCTGATACTTATAATCCTAGACGAAAAAATCTGATATTTTTTAATCTTAATATAAGACATACATACAAATTATTTTATTTATTTATTTGATTAATCTAGGGTGATTATAAGTGGTAATATTTATTCTGAAGACTTTCAACCATTTAACAATGAACGCTTAAATACCCTGTAAACGTTGGTGGTCGAATCTAAGACATCTAAAGATAATAATCAACTTTAGTCCTTTAATTAGGGGATAATTCGATTTAGCCCTCGCCTTAATGCCCAATGATCCATTTTGATTATTCCACTCAATAATTTAGGGTTATTATTAGAGCCTCCACTTTAGCCTTAATTTCACTTTATTCCTTTAATTAGGGGATAATTCAATTTCGCCCTAACCTTATTGGTCGATGGTCCATTTCGATTACTCGATTCAATAATTTATTAGGGTTAATATTAGAGCCTTCATTTTTAGGTTTAGTCCTTTAGGTTCTTTAAATTTCATAATTTGACACTTTAGGTTAGGGGAGCCTTAATTAACCCACCTAGTATAATTTGGTTCAATAAATTAATTGTTTGCTCACATCGTGATTTCAAAACAAGGCAATGTTCATTTATCAAGAAGTTAATAGTCTATCATCCGCATTATGCTCAAGCGATGACACTGGTAATTCCCGAAGTAAGTGGACATCTTTTTCAAAACCCTACATCATGATTTCAAAATCATCGAGGCAATGTTTTTCTTTTGAAATTGATAATGAAACTTTTGCAAAAATGCTCGAGGGTGGTCGTTACTGATCTTGGTAAACTAACATCCTCTTCAAATTTTGCATCTATACTGGGTTTTAAATTAAATAAAACATCAAACTCAAAATTTTTGATTTTAAAATATAGGGTAATTGAATAGGTATTAATTTTTGGGCGATGTGGGATGTTAATCCTTCTCCACACGTAATTAACTAACTAAATTCGCTTATAATAACAATTTAGTTGGAAACATTATTTGTCACTGGCTAAATCCGCTTATAATAACAATTATTTGCGAAAAAGAAACTTTTGGTCCCAAGCCTGATTTGGGAAACCCAAGCCTGATTTTCTCTCTTATAGGTGGATCTGTAATCACAAGTTATTTAGCAATATAAAGACGATAGACTAAATAACATTTTTTTCATATATAAAAAACCGGAACATGTTTTGGGAAACCCAAGCCTGATTTTCCCTCTTATAGGTGGTAACGAAAAATAGAGGGAAGCAAAACCTATTTTGGCGCGTAGTAAAGCACGAATCCACAAACCATACAAGGGGCTTAGCCATCTACTCAACACCTTCAAAGCATTAATTACAACGATCCCATAACATAATTTTGTTTTAACTGGAAATTACGTTGGAATACGTGCGATTTGTAACCGGGCAGAACCGAATTAAGTCCATGTGCTGGTCTCTTCAAAGCATTATGTTTTTCTTATTGTTTTTCATGTAGTGGTTGTAACTACATTGCAAGACTAAATACTTCGCTGTTAGTTTTCGACATATGATCCACATGTCGGTTGTACATTAATTATTTGATACCAAGTTGTTATAACTAATTTATTCTTTTCTAAAAAATATACGACTTCAAATATTTTTAATATTTAATTTTCATTATTATCTCGTACAAAGCAAATAATTTTAGCAGTTAAGTGATTGTTTTTTTAGGTTTCGAGTTGGAGTATTGCATATACGAGTATGAATTTTTATTTTTAAATGATTAAAAGTATTTCAACAGATATTATCATGTCGGATTTTTATTGGATGCGCTTGTTAATCTTTATAGCAATTTGTTACTTCTTTAGATTTAATACACACATTTATCTAAAACAAATATTAGTATATGATCAAACAAGTGTAATACTTTTTATTTTTTCCGTTCCTCCATATAATAAAAGAGCCATACATCACTTAAACAAAATAATATTAAGAGAAGATTTACGTCACCTCTTTATTTTTAATTAAGTAAAGAAATGTTACATTTTTAACATAAATATTAAAGTTCGAACTCATATAAAAAGAGACAAGATGAATATCATATGCCACTTAATCTGTTCAATGCAAGCAAAGCTGCAATATTACGAGTTAAAACTACGATAATAGGAGATCATGCAGTATTAGTCCTTACGAGTTTTCCAATAACGTTTGGCTTAACGCTGTACGGATCAATGTTAAGAATTGACTTGTATCCAAGTTTTGTCATTTCTACATGGCCGTCTGACTTTACGAGTTGTTCTTTGTAGAAGTCCCAATTAATAGTACTGTCGGTAGTAATATCAGTATAGACCTGCAGTTAAAAACGATTTAACTCATGGTAAATTTGGTTCAATTGTTTCTGCTACTATCTAATAACAAAGAACAAGTAAGAGTAAACTACATGTTTAGTACCTTGACTATCAGTTTTGTTCCATTTTGGCCATGCAACTATTTTTTTGTTTCAGAATCATACCTAACGTTTAATTTTAGTTTGACTATGAGTTTATGGTCACTCACCGTTAAAAATTAAAGAATTGTTAACCTAACATTTTTTAATGTTGATGTGACATTATCTTATGGTGACATATTAGCATCACCGTTAATTTTTTAACGAACAGTGACTAAAATAAAACTAAAAATAAACGTTAGGTATGATTTTAAAACAAAAAAATTGTTGGGTGACCAAAATAGAACAAAAAAGATAGTTGCAGTACCAAACATGCAGTTTACCCAAAAACTAACGATGATGTTAACGTTATATTCTTTAAATTATTTTTCAATGGTGTCGTGGAATTGCCTTACGGAGACGCATCAGAATCACTTTTAATATTTTAACGATGGGTGAATAAAATAGAACCAAAACGTAACTTAGATATGATTTTGAAAAAAAATAATTGGGTGACCCAAATAGAAACTAAGTAACAGGTGAATGATTAAATAGGTAGTTTACCCAAGAAAAACAAATAGGATCCAATAACAGTCAAGTACTCAAGTTTGCTTTTTTTTTTAACATAATGATGAGTTTGGTGCGATGGTATTAAAATGGAATAAAACAGAATTCATGCATACCTTATTATCTTGATCTTTCATATTCCTCCAGACAACAATCCACTGAATGTTTTGTTTGATAAAATACGCCATTCCACCTTCCGAGATTCCGACATCGGAATCGGCCATGTGCTGGAAATATCGTATCTCCTTCAATGGAACATTTTCCGGCTGTTTTCCAGATCCATACCAATCTTTTGCTTCCGACAAGTTGAGATCTTCGACGGTTTGATTGTTAAGATACACATCTGTATAAATCGCAGGACCAACCTTGCTTGGAGCAGCCATCGTCTTGTCTTAGTTTGAAACTTCCAAGTAGCTTATGCTGTACTAGACACCCATATATACTAGTTTGTAGCCCAAAAGATGAGAAGAAGTTGCTATGAAAATAAAATAGTGCCCGCATTTTTATATTTTTTTATCTGGAAATCACGTGGAACACGTCTGATTTGTGTACGGGTAGAACTGAATATAAGTCCAATGTGCTCGTGGATAGAAAGATAAGAGAGTTGACGGGACGGTATTCCCCTGAAAATTTATTGTGAGGATGATCATTCTAATCTAATTTATATTATTTATAATCATCACGATTTGAATTTCTAACATTGTTTAAAGGATCTAGCGCCTTATCCTATTACACCAACCGATTATCGGTAAAATTTTTAAATTCTAATATAAATTAGACATTTTTTTTTGTATTTTGAACTGATATTTTGATTTTATCTCTTGAAATTTTATAATTTCGTTTTCTTAACATAAAATCTTATGTAATGTGCTAATCTCTCTAGAATGTTGTGGTTTGATTTTACTTTTAATCGTTTTTATTAGGATTAATTAAAAAATAGTCAAATTATATTTTTTTAAGTGCCTAAATTATTTTTCTATCAATGTAAGTGCATTTTAAGTGTATGGTTCCTCACTACCATTAAAAAAATTCATGTCAACACTCAAACTGTGACATGAAGTGTATTTATAATTTCTTTAAAAAAAACATTTAAAAAACTTATAATTATTATTGTTTAAAAAAACCTCAATCTTTCTTTAAAATCTCAAAAACAAATTCTCAAAATCCTTATTTTAAAGCATCAACCCCACTCATTGGTCGTCCCCTGCTGCTAAGGCCCTCTCCCATCGTCAGCGGATCATCCCTTGTTGTAGCCTCTCCCCAAAATCCAATTCTATAAACCCAAACCCTATATCTCAAGATTCACATCCCTAAATACCAATTAACAGGTGAGTGGGTGATCGTCGGGGTGATGATGATCGACGACAAAATTAATATATTTTATAGTTTTATTAATTTTGAGGTACTTTTTGAAAAGTATTAAAAATTAATATATATTTTTTTTCAAAAATTTATAAATTTTATTTTTTAAAAAATTAAAAAGGAAATGAAAAATTTTACCACATGTCAAATATTGATTGGTTGATTGATTTTTAACAGATCTTTTTAGCAATCATGATAGAAAACACTTAAAATAATAACGTCGTAAACGAAAAAAATTTCAAATACCTAAGAAAAGAAAAGAGATCTAGTTTAATTTTTTATATTAAGACTTTTTAATTAAATGGTTGTTATAACTATATTGCAAGACTAAATATTTCAAACTTAGCTTCGGACATGTATGTTCCACGTATTTTTTATACTTTAAGCATTTCAGTTGTGGTTGTTGTAACTAGGTCGCTCTTCTTTACAATATAAAATACTCTTTAAATATTTACATATTAATACCGGACATGTAACACGAATTAAGTTGCTTTAGTGATCAAATGAATAGTTATTATTTTTAGAAGTTTTAAGTTCGAACATCAAAGACTACAGAGGTTGATGAACTTTTATTATCAAATTATTAAAAATATTTAAAATAAATACTACATTGATTGTTAATAAAAAAACTTTGGATATGTATGTTCCACGTGTTGGTTTTATTTTAAATTATTTGATTTTTGGTTGTTATAACTAATTTTCGCTTTTTACAATATAAAGACGGTAAATATTTTAACACTATTTTTTTTCTTCTCTTGATCAACATGAAATCCAAATATATTATATTTATTCTCAAACTCTTCACAGTTTGAATTTAAAAGAAAATATTAATTTACTGGTGAATCAAACAGAGTCAACAAATTTGGGGTTGAGAAGAAATTTTCAAGAGCTTTTTACATTTAACAGTTGAGTGACCAAAACAAAAACAATTTGAATGTTTAATGATAAAATTAAAAAAAATAAAAGTAAGTGACAAAGATAGAAACTTGGACAAAGTTGGGTGACAGAAAATATATTACCTTGATAACTAAAAATAAGTTTAACTCCAATTTACATAAAATTAATTAATACAAATATAAGAATAATTTAAATACAATAATACATGAAAAAGTGTATACAAGATACAAATAAATGAATCAATCTACCATAACTTATTTATTAAATAAAAAAAGGTTTCCAAAAAAATATATAGTAAAATTTATAGTGTAACATTTTTAAAATTTTGAGTTTTATTTCAATTGTTATTTTTTTTGTTACAACAATATAAAAATTATGAATCCGAGCGCGTAATATTCTCTAATTCAACATGCTATGACTTGGCACTTTATAGATAATTTATGAAATGTAAAAATAGGGTAAATTATACCAATGACCACTTAACTGTTGCCTCATTTTACTTTAACTAATGATCTTCTAATTTATCAATTAGACCACCTAACCATTTAAGTGTTGTCAATCAAGTCACTTGCCGTTAATACTTAACAAATAAGGTGACGTGGCCGTTAAATATTTTGGTATGATTACACATTTGGCCATTGTTGTTTACATATTCTATCAATTTAGTAATATTTTCAATAAACTAAAATAAGTGTAACACTAGAATAAGATGATGTCAAGTGTCATTGGTGGCAAGTGTAACAATTCGATCGGAGAGTTAAGTTTATTTTAAATTAATATATTTATTTTTCACCAACCAAAATGAGGCCTTTAGATGACCTTTTAATTTAGATGCCTAGAATTGTATCGGCCAATCTCATATTTTTCATGTCAAATCTTGAATTTGACATGTTTTTGGTATATTTTGCCATTTCATTGTTGCTTGTACCAATGAGTACGTCACTGACATAGAAAATAGAATGATGTATCCAATGTTTGTAGTTTTGACATATACATGTTTTCCATATTCATTTATCATGAAATTGTTTGTCATCATGACACTATCAAACTTCTCATGCCATTCTTTTTGTACTTATTTAAGTCCATACAAAGACTTCACCAATCTACATACTTTCCTTTCTTGACCTAAAACTACATGACCCTCAAGTTGTTCTATATATTTCTTCGACAAGATCTCCATTTAGGAAAGTTGTTTTAACATCCATTTGATGTACTTATAAATTTCACGGAGCGGCAATTTCAAGTATAATTCTTAAGGTTGTTATTCTTGACATATGAAACTATGTATTGATGAGTGTTTTATTTCGTTACTATTTTACTGTTAATTACTCCTTGTTATGTATTTGAACTGTTGATTTGGGGCATTTTTATTTTTTTTAATGCAGGATGTTGGATTCCAGAAATAGTACTAAACAAGTGAAATTCTGTAGTTTTATTTTTGGAGTCAAGGCTAGATTAGTGGACATGACTCTGGGCATGTAACCCCCTAGACCCGATCTAGATGTTATGACCCAATCTAGGCGGTCATATATTAGATACAAAGTTTCATTTTTCATATTTTAAATTCACTTCGTTAAATATAATCCATAATACAACATGGCGCAAAATAAAAATAAAAAATATCCATACGGTAAACATATAAAGTTACCAACGTCAGAAAACAAAATACTGGTAATACAATATATCAAGATAGTAGTAAAACACGTGTCACCAAAATATATCAAAAGTGGCATGTAGAAATATACACTGAATCAAAAGGACGAACGATCGACCCTACTGATGCAAAGTTTGCTAACCTATTGTCAGATAGTATCTAAAAAGTTAAAAAAGATTAAAGAGTGCTAAAAAGCTCAGTGTTCCCCTTACGGTGAGTAAAAATGTTCAGATAAATATTTCAGTAAAAGTTTATTTAAAGAACATGTTTTTTAAAACATGAACACTACCCCTATCCGAAATACTAAAATGTGTAGGTTCTCCTGAACTATACACCCACATATACACACAAAAGGGCCTTATACTAATAGTATAAGTACCTGCGGTAAGGTCTTAGCTTGTGCACTAAGTAGAGGTGTCTACAGTAAGCTCTTAGTAGTCATACACTATGTCTGAGATGCTTTCTCCAATTATACCCTAATGATAGTGAAAACAACAATTTAGTTTACAAAACATTAAATCATGCCAAATTCCAAAATCATATGAAAAATACAGTAACCAAAGATCATGTCATTAATATAAGGAAACTAGATATCAGAGGTCAAAACATACAATAAAATAGATGTCATGCAGTCTGAATATTTAATATCATCAGAATTTTAAAACAGTTTAGACAGAGAGTTTAAAATGATACAGTAACACCAATAGGAACACACTTGAACCAGTCTGAGAAGTCTGATATAGTAGCCTACTATTGGGTCTGCCTATCATGATTGACGGTATCTCTAGATCCTACTAATTGAAAAACGAGGTCACAAGTCTAATATAATAAATAATAATCCCTAAGTAGGTAATTTACAAAAATATACGATAGCTCTCGAAGAACGTGCATCGGGTTGATTTTTTGGACAAGAAACATATGATCTAATCGACCCTTGGTCAGGGGAATCACAAGTACCTTCACGAGAATATAATCTCATATCAATTTCATAATATAATTCCAAATAAATTAGCAAAAAATACTAAGCATTTTTTTGATTAACGGGCTCGATTTGGGGCTTTCGGATCAGAATTTGATGAAATGAATTGTAAAATCGAACTCAAGATATAAAAAATGTTAAAAGGGAGGTTTTTAGAAAAAGTCAACGCCGGTCAATGGTCAAGAGCTCGGCTAGGCTGTTTTGGAATTTGGGCTAGTCAGACGGGCCAGATCGGGTCAATAGGTCAGGTTTACTTACTTTTAGAAGGTTCACTGACCGGGAACAAGCCCTACACGTGGTGGTTGTGCGTGGGGGCGCGTGTGCGGGTTATGGCGGTTGAAAAATTACTAAGATAATTAAAAATTATTTTGAAGCGTTTAGGGCCACTTACCAGGATCAGTTCAAGTGAACGGTGGAGATCCTGATTACGCTATGCCAAAAACTTATTCACTCTCATGCCTTCACTCATCAACGACGGAAGCCATAAAATTGGTATTGATGGA